TTATATATATATATATATATATAATATATATATAAAGCATGAATTTAAAAAAAAAAAATTTTTGACTAATGAAATAAAAAAAGTGTTATATTATTTCTATTTCTAAATGACAAGTCATGATAATCTTTCTCAACAGCAAAATATATGTATATGGTTATATAGATATTGAAAGAAATTTTTACATAGTCAATTTTTGAAAAAGCAAAACGATACACGAAGCCTTTATGTTAAGTTGTTTTTACAAATATATATATTTTTTGAAATCTATTATATTATGTATATAAAATGATAAATATACAACTGATTTTAAGGAGATTATATGTTTAATAGAAATGATATATAAAGTAGAAGCATATGTTTTTAGCTAATATAAAAATGTACAAAAAGAGAAATAAGATCTACGAGAAAAAATCTAACAATATTATGTAAAATAAAGAAACAACAATTAAAGAACGATAAAATTAAATAAAATTGTAAAATAAATTACAGATGTAGTCAATTTGATGCAAGCTGTTTTGTTAGTTTTTCATCTTATAATCATCGTAGCTGTTGTAATGTTATTTATATAAAATACAAAGAGCATTTATTAAAAAAAAAATGTATTTAAATCACGATGAATAAATTATAATTAAACGTGACATGTAAGTTGCTATAATCTTTGAATTATAACCTATTGCTCTTGTAAATTTTAATGTGTATTTAAAAAAATCTTTATTATATCTGTCAAATTGTTATTAAGGATTCTTTTTTTTCTTTTGAATAAATTATTTTACATATGAGACGTGATGTGTAGTAAAAGTAATATAACGTTACAAATCCCAACATACCTTCTTGACAATCGGAAAACGTGGAAATCCTAATGAAAAAGGTTTTACACAGGCATATACAATCTACAATCAGAATCACGAGCTCAAATATTTCAGATAATTCGTGTGCGTGGCGCCATCTGATAACCTAAAGTAGGTAACAGAGAATATGATCTATTTGATGATATACATGAGACGAGTCTTTTAATTCATCGATTGATTAATCGCATAATTAATCGCGCAAATGCTGATTTTAGAAAGCAAAGTACATGCAAAGTGCATTTGTATATAATGCAATTTATTAATCGTTGAATTAAAAAACTGGCTTATGCTTAACGTTCGATTAACGAATCAGAACAAAGAAGTTTACGAATGGACAAATCGAAAAATGTTTCGAAGCATTTGTATCGTAAGGTATCGTCAGAATACGGCTACGGTATGAGGTTAGCACATTTGTAAAAAATAAAAAATAAAAATTGTGCCGAGTTGTGCTAGGTTTGTATTACATTGTTCCGCAAGAACTAATCAAATATTAAAAAAAAAAACAGCGTTAGAGAAAGAAAAAACAATTTTTTTTGTCAGTATCGCCATTTTGTAAAACATAAAAAATAAAAGTTGTGCTAGGTTTGTGTTACGTTGTGTCGCAAATATTTCAATCGTATTTTCTTGCACTTTCGGAAAAAAAAAAATCAAAATGTCAATTTTCCAATGCAAAACTTCATAGTCTTACAACTTTCCAACCGTGAAAAATAATCCAACAAAATTTCTCAACCTGAATTGAGTTGTGCTAACCGAGCACAAAATAAGTCCACCATGAGTCGATACGACATATCATTCGACAATGTAGAAGATGTTTCATTTCAAATGCTCCCAATGTAATTGCTGTTCTTGAAAAGATTGAGAAATCGAGAATAATTATTTATATCCAATTTATTAGTGTGCCGCACGAGAAACTTATATAGAAGCTCGTTAGCCGAAGATGAATTAAGCTGTGTGTGGATGATATTTTATTTCAAATGCTCCCAATGCTACCGCTCCTGAAAAAATAAAAATTGAGGATAAGTATTTATATTCAATTTATTAGAGTCATACGAGGAGCTTATATTAAAATAAACTTCATTAGAAGGTGGATTAAGCAATGTGTGGATGACGTTCTTTTCGACTGCCCATCTTCAATATACTCTGTAATATGGAAAACGACAAAATCGTAAACGCTTATTTTCAAGCTACTGTCTAGAGAGTCGTAGGAAGAGAGTCGTAGCTCATGTTGAAGTAAATCTCATGAGTCGAAGGTGAATTAAGCTGTGGGTAGACGTATTTCTACGATTGCGAAATTCTAGCATACTAAAGTACAGAAAATGGCAAATTTAAAGATATTTATATACAAGCCTAGATTGCCGCTAGAATAACTTATATTGAAGTAAAAACGTCATTAGCCGAAGGTGGATTAAAACGTATGTGGATGACGTTTCAGTTCAAATGCTCCCAATGCAATCGCTGCTCCAGAAAATTTAAAAACCGAGGATAATTATTTATATTCTATTTATTAGTGTGCCGTATGAGAAGCTTATATAAAAGTGAAAGTATTTAATTAACCTTCGTTAGCCGAAGGTGGATTAAGTACTGTGTGGATGACATACCATTTCGAGTGCCTGTTTCCGGTACACTCTCTAATATAGAAAGCGACAAAATCGTGAACGTTTATTTACATCCAACTGTTTAGAGAATCGTCGGAGTAGCTCATGTTGAAATAAACATCATGAGCCAAAGGTAAATCAAGCTGTGTGTGTGTGTGTGTGTGTGTGGACGCCGTATGTCTACGCAAACCTCTAATACATTTAAGTATAGAAAACGACAAGTCCGAAGGTATTCATAAATAGGCGTCTGCTTAAATTGCCGCTAGAACAACTTACATTAAAGTAAACGTCATTAGCCGAAGATGGATTATGACGTACGAGGATCGTTCGATTTCGATTTTGTCAGGTAAATTTTTGCGAGATAGCGAGGATCGTTCGTTTCGATTTTGTCAGGTAAATTTTTGCGAGATAGCACACAATGAACTATGTAATATATGGCCAGGAAGGAACACTATTCAAATTGCCTTATACCAAGTTTCAGCAAAAAGTGATACTTAGTTTATATGTGGCAGACGTTGGAAGTGAGCATGGCAGCAGTTGTAAAAATGGAGAAAGACGAATTCCGTGCAGTGATTAAACATTTTTATTTAAAGAAGTGGACGACTGCGCAGATTAAAGTCGAATTGGATGAAGTATACGGGCACTGCACCAGCATTGAAAGACCGTTTATTTTTGGATTAATGAATTCAAAAAGGTCGGACATCAATCAAAGATGAAGCGTGTCCCGGACGTCCAGTTGAACTACGCCAGAAATGATTAAAGAAATCCATTGTATCGTCATGGAAGATCGCCGAATGAAGGTACGTGACATACCTGAGATTGTGGGCATTTCAGTAGATAGAGTGCATAATATTCTGCACAAAGAATTAAAAATGAAAAAGCTTTGCACGATGGATGCTGCGATTGCTGTTCATAGATCAAAAACGCATGCGAAAAAACATTTCGCAGCAGTGTTTGTCGAGGCTTCAGTGTAATCCATAAGACTTTTGGTGTCGATTCGTGACTATAGACGAGACTTGGATTTATTATTATACACCTGAGTCAAAACAGCAGTCCAAGCAGTGGACAGCGTCTGATGAATGTGCGTCGAAGAAAGCGAAGACTGTTTTGCTGGCCGGGAAGATAATAGCCACTATAGTCTCTTTTTTTTTTTTTTTTTTTTTTTTGCTTGTTGGTTGTGTTTTGGGTAACCTAATTGACTCGTCCTAACCAAATTATTGAAAAGTTAGGACGACATGGTTAGGTTAGGTTAGGTTAGGTTAGGTTAGGTTAGGTTAGGTTAGGTTAGGTTAGGTTAGGTTAGGTTAGGTTAGGTTAGGTTAGGTTAGGTTAGGTTAGGTTAGGTTAGGTTAGGTTAGGTTAGGTTAGGTTAGGTTAGGTTAGGTTAGGTTAGGTTAGGTTAGGTTAGGTTAGGTTAGGTTAGGTTAGGTTAGGTTAGGTTAGGTTAGGTTAGGTTAGGTTAGGTTAGGTTAGGTTAGGTTAGGTTAGGTTAGGTTAGGTT